AAACACATAGTCAAGTAATTAAGGATGGGGTAAATAGTCAAGTCAAGTAATTAAGCATGGGGTAAATGAGCAGCTGCACCAGGGCCCTTGACTACTTGGGGCCCCCCAACAAAAATAAATTTTGAGGGGCAAATGCTACTTCTACTGCCCCAGGCCCCATCTGACCTAAATGTGCCCCTGTAAGTAATAATAAATGTCCTGTTTATAGCACAATTCCTTTAATCCCAAAAGTATTGCATTCAATCAGAAAATGTTAAGGAAATCTCAAATTAACTTGTCTGTACAATTTGTGTTTCTTCTTGGCAGAAAACTAGGGTAACTTCTATAAAAAAAAAAAGGACGATTCTGATACCTCTGGTTCTCTGTATCAAATAAATTGTGAACAATGTGATGTGTTTTACATTGCAAGAGCCCACAGACAAGTTCCTAACCTTGTTAAAGAACATAAGACCCCACCCCCAAAAGCTCATGTTTATGAATGTATGTTCATGTAGGATCATTCATATCATCCAGACGATTATTAAATTCTCAGTAGAGAAAAAAATATAAACGGCCACAAACTAAAGGAAGCCTTATTAATTAAACAGCTTGAACCTTAAATTAATACATATTCTGATATACAGTTGTATCTTTTCTAGCTGTTGTTTAAAACTTTTAAGATTGGATTGTTGTATACATATGTTTTATCTTTTCTATTTTTAAGATTAATTTATAACATAGTACAATCAGTCTACATTAACCTATTGTAAATGTCTAACATGTATTACAATTATGTTTCAAATGCATATAAGATATTTTAAACTGTTTTATTGTAGATTTTCTTAGCAATTATAAGAATATTAACACTAATAATAGGTATTAAACAATACTGGTAAAATCTAAAATAATGCTTTCAATCTATTTGAGAAGAACATTAAATTGGTTTGAATACTGGTTGTTGAGAGAAAGACATATACTGTTTATTTTATAATGGAAATTCTAAGTCCATTAATGGCTTATGTTGTCAGAGAAGGGGTTCAGCTTAAATTGACCTTCAGTTTTGTTTTGAAGTTTGGCAACCTTTGGATTAAGAACCTTCCATAATTTTTCTTTTGATATAATTTCCCATTTTATATATTCATTTGGCTGATTTCCAGTTGATTTTATGATCAAGATTCCTCATGTAGAGAAGAATAACATCTTAACAATGAAGAATGTAGAGAAGAATAACAATGTATCCATCTGCTACTTTTTTGTATTATTTAGATCAGGAGCTTACTTCTTCTAGTTGTTATACCTGATGATGCCAGATTAACCTGGTGAAACTTTGTAACTATAGGTATTATACTCTGTATAACCAACAATAAATACGTTTTAAGTTTTACATACCAGGGTACTTCTTTTAATTATTTATTTATAAATGACACTTGTTGAAAGGCAGGCTGTAAAATCTGCTTAATGTCGCTTTTTAACTGGAAACTATGAACTTTGTAAATACTCTTTGTAGCTTTTACTGCTTTCTTACTAACAGCTACAATGGCTTCATAGTGGCCGTGAACAAGGATAAGTGATAATTGTGATTGATTTATGGCAGCTTTAAACTGGTTAGTTCAGTTTATCTTGTAAAACTTTTCCTTTGTCAGTTGCTCTGGTTTCAGAATATCAGCTCATTGTTGTAATGACTATGCGTGTATACTCTTCAGTTGTCATTATCTTGTGTGATAATTGTTACATACTGTACCATGCTCTTCTGTTAATTACAGTACACAGACTTCATATTCTTTTGGTTTAACTGTAATATATTGCAGTATTCATTCTTTAGCTTTTTCACCTTGTCAGTAACCATACTCTGCTTATCCATCACTAGTCGCTTTCTGACTTAAAAAGAAAAGTGCAAGGCAAGGAAAATTTTGTATAGTTGGAACATATTGTGAAATTATTTGAGATGCTTTCTTGCAGTTTCATGCTTACTTTTGAGATTAATAACCATTGCATAAACAAACACCAGGTGCTGAAGAAAGAGGGTAAAATAGTTCTTAAATTGTCAATTTTTTCAAAAGACTTTGCTTACCCATCAGAGAGACCTCACCTCTACAACTTGACCCATTCTTTTTTTAAAACTTTACAGTAGCCAGCATTTATTATTATTTGTTTATATTCTTATTAAGCAGACATTCTGAATGTTGTGACTGCACGTTTTACATACTATTTTGTGACTAGTTCACTTCACCCAGTGAAAAAGTATACAGAAACTATAATGTTTCCTATCCAAACAATATCTTGTAGCTTCAATGTCTTCAGCCTCAAAACCAGAATGGTTGTCTGTATAGAAGATACTAGATCCTGGATGTAATTATTCTGTCATTTTAGTCAAAAGTTACAAATTTTCGAAAAAGGTTATGAGGAACTAATAAATTGATATGTATAGTGATATACATGTAGATATAAACTGTTCCAATGGTCTTTTGTTTGTCTAGTAAATTGCTCAATATTTGGAAGGAAAAAGAAGCACTATAAAGACAAATATCTAGCCAAACATAATGCCATTTTTGACCAACTAGACTTAGTTACCTATGAAGAGGTTGTAAAGCTACCAGCCTTTAAAAGAAAGACTCTTGTACTTTTAGGTAAGAAAAATACATTTTTACCTATAGGTTACTAAAAATTTATTTAAAAGAAGTAAATTATTTTGAATAATTGATAAAAATATAATGTTGGTTTCAAGCTGATTTGTAACTGAACATTGTAAATCCTAGTTAATGAACCTACTGCATAATTCACACTTTTATTATTAATTGTTATTGGTAACATAATAGCTGTTTTTTGTGATTGATGTGCTTACAGGGTCTAATGATAAACTCCAAGATTTGCCAATCATAGTTTTATCTCAAAATTATACAATATCAGCATGCTTTCTCTTTTAAAGTTTTTCCCAAATATTACTTTTATGGTTCTCTGTTTTCCCACCAGGTGCTCATGGTGTAGGGCGGAGACATATTAAGAACAATCTAATATCCAATCATCCAGACAAATATGCATATCCTATTCCACGTATGTTTTATGCATTTTTATTTTATTTTTTAACCTAACTATGATAGAAAGGTGGTATAAACAAAGAACTTTAATGCTATTATAAAAATATTTCTTGCTATACAGAACCATCTCTAATAATAACTGTAAAATAAAATTAACCTGAAATAAGAACATAAAATACCAACTATTGTTTAAAAGATACAGCAAACTGGGATTTCTCCAGTCATATTAAGGGGTCAAAATCAAAACTATTGACTGTCAGGTGATACTGATATATTTGTCCTTCAATTCACGTAAACAATAGACAATAAGTTTATGCATTTTCCTTGTTTCAAAGAATACATCTTATTGAGCTCTCCAATATTTCACTGCAAATTTGCTAGTTCTGAGGTATTTTTGAAAATACTAATTTTTTTCAGGTGTCTTATAACTTGTAGTTCTGGAGAGTTTTACTGTGTGCTCTACACGTTTAATCTGGTTCATTGTTTCAAGTAATGGCTTATTCACAACAGATACAACAAGACCTCCAAGGAAAATGGAAGAAAATGGAAAAACTACTTCTTTGTGTCATATGATGAGATGATGGCTGACATTGCAGCTAATGAATATTTGGAGTATGGAACTCACGAAGATGCAATGTATGGAACAAGACTAGAAACAATCAGGAGAATTCAGCAAGAAGAAAAGATAGCTATTCTAGATGTAGAACCACAGGTGACTATGAGATGTTTAAGTGATTTTTACAAAATTCTGTTTATGGGAATTTGTAATGATGTGGGTTTTAACTAATTAGTTTGGTTAATGAAAGTTAGAATAGTTGTCAATCACATCAGTTTAATTAATGGTGTGAATATTACCTAGCCACTTTAGTTTAAAAATTAGGATGGTTTTAGGTGACTGAGCCACTTTAAGGAATAGAGTTTAAGATTATATGGATATTGCCTGGTAGAGCTACTCAATTAGTGATATTTGCTAATCAACTTCATTTGATTAATCAATCAGTACAGTGTTACTCAAACCATAGTACATACATACAAACAAACAAAAGTTAGCAGTTTGTGCTGCCACACAGTTGCTTTTCCCTCTAGTCACCAGCTCAACAACACCAAAACAAGTTCTTGATTGCAATTGCCTTCCCACTAGTCAACAGTTCAACAACAATAATAAAACAAAAAGAAAAAAAAGGGCTGGTGACAGTGAGTGGTGGTTGACACTTGCCTTTCCTCTAGTTTGGTGGCAGTATTTTCATTTACTCAAGTAGTTGAAATAATTGGAAACCCTAATTTGGATAAATTTATTTTTTCATGAATATTTATATAATTGGAATTTTGATTTATCAACTGTTGGTATAATTAAAAACAGTAATAATCAGAAACTTATTTTAATTAATCCATTAATTGTAATTTCAATTAATGAATTAGTTTGCAGGACACTACTCAATGTAATCACTTCTCATAGATAATCGATTAAACTGGCTGGATATCAGAGCTGGGTGATTTAACCAATTACCCAGCCAGTTTAATTTCTAGTGTAAATATTACTTAGTCATTTTGATTAATAGGAATTGAATAGTGTGGAAATGTAAAGCCAGTTTTGATGATGAAGTTGGTAAATTGATCAGTTTAATTATTACAGCATAGGATAATTTCAAACCAAACTATTATATATATAGGAAATAGGATGTTATGTGGGTACTACCTAGCACGCTTAAATCATTTAGTGGTATTTAAAATCTAGCCAGGGCTTGGTATAACTATTACTTACCTATTTTGATTACCAAAAGTTGTACACATGGAAGCGTAAGAAGTTCAATAATGTTAATCACCTAGCAAGCTTAATGTTTAGAAGCAAGAATAGGGTAAAGAACTTTGCTGGGTTTTGTAGTGAGAAAGTTTGTGTTTGTTATGATATAAAGTATTTGATTTATATACTGTTTGCTAATCAAAATTTTGTTTAAATTGCAAATGGACCAAAATGTAGTGATTATGTGAAAGTGAAGTTTAAATTATCCATCACTGTCTGTTACAATAATTTAAATGAATTAATATCATAATTTATTTTGAAAATATTATTTATGTATTTTTTTGTGTGAACAATATTAAAACAAAACATAATGTCCTTTGTCTGTATGGCTACATAAAATATGCATTAGCCATGAGAATGAGAGTATAATAAAATTTGTAAACATTTCTGTGTTTATTTTACCATTTATTTTGCAGGCCTTAAAAATACTAAGGACAGCAGAATATTCACCTTATGTAATCTTTATTGCTGCACCATCTTTATCAACCATGAATGATGTAAGTAACAGGAGAGAACTAGTTAACTCCAATACATAGTCTTACGTCAGATAGTATTATAATTTAATTATTGAGGTATACAGTAGGGATAAAATAAGTGAGAAGTGATATGTTATTTCTCATTTTAGATGTATTATAAGTTCTAGTACACTCAGTAAATCAAAATGTGCACACTATAGCAGGTACTGGTCTTGTTAGTGAGTAACATATGTTAAAAATTGGCAACAGATCATTGGCTTTTATCTATACGGTAATCGTATACACTATTTTAGTAATGTATGTAAGTGATATTGCTACAAGTGGTAGAATATAAAATTTTTCTTTTCATATATCAGAACCACATGAACTATTTATGGAAGAACAATTTATTTTTACAGGCTGATGGAAGTCTAGAACGACTTGCTAAAGAGAGTGAACTTCTTCGTCAGTCATATGGGCATTTTTTTGACATGACAGTAGTAAACAACAACATTGATGAAACAATAAGAACTTTGGAAATGGCCATGGAAAAGATTAATGTGACACCCCAGTGGGTGCCTGTCAGTTGGGTCTATTGATTGCTCAGGATTTTATATGTACCCAGTTATTTTTTTCTGAAGATGGTGAAGAGAGATTTGAAGCCTTGTTACAAAGACCATAACCACAATGAGTGTGCTACACAAGACACATTTTGTTGTTTTTAGTTTCATTCCATTATCAGTACTTTCCAAGGACACCTTTAATATAAAATTGACTCTTCTTGTACATGTACCCCATGGTGCTCTTTAATTTAAAGTAATGGGGAAACACAAAATGAAGTCTGGCCTTACATTGTTGAGAGTTGTTTTGGGAAGTTGTTACATTTGATATCAAACAAGGATAGAAGTGCCATGTCAGTTTGTAAGAAGACAAGTTTAGGTGTGAAACAGTGTTAGTAGAGTTCAGTCACATAAAAATATTTTAGACTGACCATTCATCTATTTGACTTTGATAACTTGTTTCAAGCAGCAAACACTGTAAATTCTTGATCTTAAGCAGGTTGATCCAGTTACACTTCATTCAAATAGAGACTTAACAGTAAAATCATCAACAGCTACTGATATTTGGTTGTTGCAAATGTTTAGGAAAAAAACTCTTACTGTAAAGTTGTGATCTAAGGCTTGTCCACTTAGTTGACAGAGACTTGAAGTTAACATCATACTTAGTTCTGATATTTGTGAAATCAACATTGTTAAGAGTTAAGTAAGTTTTAAGATAAATTTTATTGCAATGACCATCTTATAGGCTACTCAAAAATTAGAAGTGAGAGTGGCTTTGAGAGAAGTTATAAATAGCTTATTTTAAAACTTGTTTACGAGGTCAAAACTTGGAATGATCAGAAGAACAGAAACAAGTGAATGAATATCTCTGAATCTTAAGCACAGATAGCCCTGTTGCTTTGTGCCAAAAAACTCTAAACAACCAACTGTATTTTAAAAGGAGTGATAGCTGATTAAAATATTAATAAAAACTATTTTGAGGTTCATACAAAATAAATCATCAGTATTATTATATAAAATTATTATCAATTTAGTCAATTTCTACTATCATAACCATTGAATAATAATTTTTGCTTTTCAGTACTGATTCAAGCATAAATTTACTTTATTGTCATGGATGTATACCACCCATTCTCACCTTACTATTTCCTAGCATGATATTTAAATAATTGTTTTATTTCACCTATTATACCAATTTCTCTTTCGGTACAAGGCTTTTTCCAGCTTAGTAAATAGATATTGTCAAACCTAATATAGATACACCAGCTTGTACTTATAAAGAAATATAATTATTATAAATTAATCATTATTATCAAACCTTATGCAAGGTAAAACAGGTATATACACAACTCTGAGGGATGTACAGAAAAAAATATATATATATATACACAGAGAAGGAATAATTCTGGGAGAACTAGTAGATCTAATAGAAGGAGTAAAGTAGTTTAAAGATGTTGATTTTTATTTTAATTAAATTTATATTAAACAGTTTTTTTTTGGATTTATTAGTTGTGCTTATTATTCTTTAAAATTGTTTATACTTTTAATTATTACTTTGCAATTTTGTATAAAGATTTCATAATGATAATGAATAATTCAGTGTTTGTTTTAACAACTTTAAACATTTATATCAGCAACAAGAAAATAAAAATTAACATTCAATTCTGAAATTTGTAAGCAAGTTTTCTATTAACTTAATGCTGTAATATTCTAATACCAACTGTGATGAGACAGTTTTAAAATTGTTTTTTAAGGTAACCAGTATGCAAGAACATTCTTTTTTAAGTAATCAGTACACAAGAACATTCTTTTTTAAGTAATCAGTACACAAGAATATAATTTTTAGAGTTAAACAATAAATAAGGACATCTTTTCTGAGGTAACTCACTAGACCTAACTAAGAGCTTACAGCGTGAATACCAGCAGACGTTCAACTTATGTGTTAAACAAAAGACTGCCAGTTATCTCATTGACTGACATAGAGATTTATTTTTTTTACTTTAACTAATAAACAATAGATAAGCTGTATAAGACTGATATCAACTGTAGGTCATGTGGTTATGTATAGGGTTAAACACATTTTTGTATAATTATTTGTATCTTTTAAAGTTCCTATTTCTTGATTTTAAAATATCAAAAGGCTACTCTTTTTTTTTTGTAATAATTTTCAAAATACTTTGCTTATTCAGTTGTTTTTATTGTATAAACTGACATAGTGAAATGTTAAAAGTGTTTCTGTAGTCCTTAACTTTCTTCGTGATGGTTATCTGAAAATCAAAAATTGTTCAACATGATAAAAAAGCTTTTTGATTTGTTATTCAGTTTTCTGTTATGTATGCTAACTACAATGAAATTTTTATAGCAGTGTTACAATATGAATTATTTTAATATAACAATTGATCAATTTCATCCCAATAATTGAAATCATTGTAGATTTTGAGTGGAAATCTTTCAGTCAAATTGTTTTTAATCACCTATTTTATGTCTAAAGAAACTTGTGTTTTGTGAAATTATTATAAAATTGACATTAATTATTATTTTGAGTAAGGTATGTTATAATTAATGATAAACTAGAATCTTAAATAATTTAGCAGTTTTTTTTTTTTCTCAGTTGTGTTGAGTTTTTATTTTTTGGGAATGATTTAAGTGTACTGGGCACGTGGACAGCCCCTTACAAAATAATTAATTTTGATTTTGAGTTGTGCTGTAGCGAGCAGAGCACAAAAGCCACCAACTCGAGAATGTGTGGAATAAAGAACTCACACAGAGACAACTAATTACAAATCAAATAACTTCTATATTTGTTCACTGTTGAACAGTTCATTTATATCGAAACTCTCAAAGTTGTTTTTCAATAGCACTACTACTAAGTCATTGTGTTCTTCATTTTGAAAGTCTAGATGTTCGTTAATAAGCCCTTCTATTATATTCAAAAACATTAGTTATTAATTACATTAACACGAGGGATTCTCTCGTTCATACTTTGTATAACTGTATTAACAATTATTCTTAGGTATCTTTAAGTAATTCCACTTTAAGCATTTTCAAATCTACTATTTCTTTAGTACAGTTAATGTTCTTCACTTTTCTCTCTTTATACATTATTGAACCTTAAGTGAAATGCTGTTAGACTAGATCAGAAATAGTATACTTACAAGAAGTTTGTGCTGTGGACTTCCTGTATATTCTGGATTACTTTCATCTTCTAGAGTCAGAATAATTTCCCGGAGCAACTTCTTAAGTGTTGAGGAGATGATGAAGTGGAGAAGTGCCATTTAGAGTAGGAAACACAGAATTATATACACAATTTTTAATGTTTTTCCAATTATTAAAGAAGTTTAGCAGATCTACTTTCAAAAATAGTTCTTTTAACTCAATTCATACAAGTGGGATCTTCCAGCAACAAGTGAACTATTCCATCAGACTGCAACCAAAATCCACTTTGTTATTGGTACTTACAGAACTTATTTCTGCTCCTTGTCTAATATCTTTGGAAAAATCATCCAAGACAATTAACTTAGGGTGTACAGAGACAAACCTTGTAATGCCGGACTCTTCACTAGCAGTATCTCACCCTTGTTATTCATCACTCTTCCATTAACTGCTTTTTTGTGACATTGGCTCATTTCATCATTTTATCTAACTATTGGAATCCTCTCAACATACCATATCTGCGAGCGATGAATTCATGCCCTGAGGTCACAACTGGAATGCTATGAGCCTCAAGCCTGCATCTTCCCTATCTGGTATTGCAGTTTGCCAGTTGTTGCCCATGCTTTTTTTATAACATTTTCAATCCGCTATACATTACAGAATAATAACAACATAGTTCTTGAAGACCTTCACATATTTAGTATTTGTATTCCACAAATACTTCATAAGACAAATTTAGATTATTAATAAACTCACATGGCAGTAATTTGCTCAGAGAATGGAGTGGTTACACTGCTGTATTGTAGTTTTATGTAGCTAGAGTATGTTATTTCATGAGTTAGTATTTCATTTTGAAAATTGGTTGAGCAATTGTAACAGACATTGTTAAAAAAAATCATGGTTTAGAGGATGAGATGAAATTTATAGTATTTTATTATGTTGATTTATTATGTAGTAGCCACAGTATTATACCAGCTTGTATTACATTTTAATTCTTCTGTTATTAAATCAATACCTTGACAGCTGATTAAACTGAGTTACTTTTAAAAATGATAACTAAAATTGTCAATGCAGTAGCTGTTCTACAACCACAGTATTTATGATGTTAAG